TTCCAGATTATTACTTTGGAGTGTTGTTCAGCGGTCCTTTTCCCTCTGAAAGCCTGACTACCAGCCCACATCACCTACGCTGTGTCTTGGTACCTCACCCCTTCGTCCCAGCCCTGTCAGCATCCATGTCAAGTGGCCTTTTCGGCCTTGTAGTTTACTACCTCCCTTCTAGCCTTTTATTTGTTATTGGCTAGACTTTGGATCTAGAACTGCTCATAAAGCTTGGAGTGACTTTCTGCCTTCTCCCTCCGTGATCACAGAAATTGGAATCAATCAAAAAGCAATTTTTCGATTCCAGGTTTGCCTGTGAGCCAGCTCCGGATCTTTTTCCTCCTTGCATGGGCCTTCTGGAATGTCCCTGGACCCTGCCATTTTGGTATTGCCTTCAGCTCTTGCCTCGACCATTTTGTGTGTCCTCTCAGTTATCTCTCCTCCATTTTTCCTGACCTACCCAAAGGTTCTTCCTGAAAAAGATGAGCCTGTGCCCCTCCCACGCCTGCGTAAGATCTTACTGTGCACGGGCAAATGTCAGATTTAAAAATAGGAAACGTCACATTGAGCCTGTTCCCCTAATCAGCCTTCCTGCTCTACCAGCAGGCCTTCTTCCAGTTCCAGAGCACACAGTTCCTTCCATGCACCCCCACCATGCAACAGGAGCCACTAAAAACTTAGCAGAGATGTCACACCTTTGGCTTCCTGGGCTACCTCCCCCTGCCTGCTGTTACTATTAGTGTACTTACTGTGTTGCGTCAGTTCTTCACCTGGCTTATCAACACCTGTGTGTTTCATTTTCCCCTGCCTGCCTCCCCCGCAACTGGCATAGGTTTGGTGCTTCATATGTTGAACTCTGTGCTTTTATCCTTGGAGGACGTGGAGTTGGGCCACCAGCAGGTAGGGGGCTGAATCCTGGATATTAACCTGTAGTGTTGTAATGCCTCATTTTAGTGCCAGAAAACCTCTTAGTCCAGGTATTGTCCAAAGCAATATTTACACACAGAGCAACTTGTGTTGAAAGTGGTGGTGCTCAGTTCCCCGGAATGAGTAGTCATGTCCTGGACACTGTAACACTATTGATCACAAGCTTTTGACCTCCTGAACAAGGTCAGTATTAATGGCTGCAATCTTCACACTCTGCTGTGTTTTTCCTAACTCCCCACCCACCTAATACCAGCCACAGACTTACCCTTCTGGTGTTTGAGTAAGACTTCTCTTGTGTCACCTCCAAGTGTTAATTCCTCACCACTGGAGTAGTGTTCCCATTGGCACCCAGTATCTCCAGACTCCAGAAGTACACTTTCCACCAGTGGGGAACTTTTTTTCCTTCACTGTGCAAGTGGTGACTTGGGTGGGATAGTAGCACGTGGTTGTATTGGAATTAAGATCTGCTAGAAGATGCTAAGAGCATCAACAGGACCTGTGGGGTTTACCAAACAGCCTCTGGGAGAGGGAAAAGGCCAGAGCTTCGATGTGCCACACCCTCTTCTGCCTTACCCTGGAGTGGAACTTCATCCTCTCAAGAGGCCTTCAGCTACCTCCTTGTGCACCTTATGGCAAGCACAGTTGCAAGGCAAGCCAAGGGTACAGCCCAACCTGGGACATGGTAAGAAGCTGGATGGCACCATGGTGTCTGGGCCACCCCTCACCCCTAGCCAAAAGCTGAGGGGGAACTGGTGAGGTGGAATGACTTTCTGCCCAGAGGAATGCAGTGGAACGGGGCCCACATGCTGCTTTCTCACCTCCAGGCCCTGGGCTTCCTCCTGTCTCGCAGGGCCGTGTCCCTCTCTTGGGGGGAAATGCTGTCTAGGAGAATGTGCTGGTCTAGCAGGTGAGCTCCTGGCTGCTTGACTGGCATCCATGCTGTGAGTGCTGCCAAAAGGCCAGGGAGGCTGGGCCAGCCGGGAGTCTCAGTTTCATCTCTAGGTAGGTATTCCTCACCTAACTCAGAATAATCAGGCCTACCTGTTCCTGCCGTGACTGAATCACAGGTTGGTCAGTGCCAGGGCTTTTTCATCAAAGCAGGTCACCACTCACCACTCAGGCTGCCTTTTACTGTAGGCAGTTCCTTAAGAGAGTTCCTAGGGGGAGGTGTGAAGCGGGAGTCACCTGTCCTCTTTCTGGTGCTTACCTGCGAGGGAGGGCCCAAGGCTGGGTGAGTGTGTGGGCTTTGCTCACAGTGTCTGTGGAAAATTAAACCCGCAAGAAAATGAAATGACAGTGGCTCACATTTGACTAAGGTTTTTGGCTTACCAAGGACACTTTATGTAAGTGTCAGCTTATGGACCTCAGAAACTGGAAGATGAGTGGCAGAATTCCCCCTTCACAGACTAGGAGCCAGGAGCTTTGAGGGCTCCGGAAGTGCCCAAGATTATATACCTTGTGTGAGGCAGAGCAGTGCACACAGCCTGACTCCAAGGCCCCATTCTTACCCCTGTTACCCCCCTGCAGGCACTCTCTAAACCACAAATCACCTGCAAACGTTCATTGTTATGCAGCCCCCTCTCAAGGGCCAAGAGGTGTTGAGTTGCCTAGTAATAGATCCGTTTCCACTCATACAGAAAAGGAATTCCTGGGACAAGCCAGCAGCTTTTCTTAGATGACCCACCTCCTGTGAATCAAGTTGTGGGGGGTGGGGGGCCTACTGCAGGCTGGCTAACATGTTTGGGGAATATCACCCAGTGCCAGGGCCTGTGCTAAGTAAGCATTAGCATTTAATCTCCCAACAACCTGGAGACAGAACATTTATGTTTACAAAGGAAACCAAATTGTCATATAGCTGGCAGAGCCACGACTGGGCCATGGCACGTCTGACTTTGGGGCCCAAGCTTTTAGCCCTTCTATGATGCAATTTTGCCTTCAACCTGTATTTTACAGGGTAGCATGTGGAAAAAGCACAAAAGTACAAACATCCCACCTTCCAACAGGGGCCTTTAAAGTGGAGTGAGCACACCTCCCTAGTCTATGGTTAGTAAGCAGAATCTTAAATGGAGGCCACAGGGACTGATAAAACTGATTAGTTAACAAAAATTAAGCCAACTGACTAAGCTGAAGTAGGGTGCCTGTACTGGAGTGTGGTTGGTCTGAAACACATTTTGCATTAGAATTGAAATTGAAACAGCATTCCTTTTTTCCGTAAGAAATTACATAATAGAGGGTATTTAAACTACCTGCCAGCTGGTGGAGAGGAGAGGGTAGAGGAGTGCAGGAGGACCCTGCAGAAGTCGGGCAGCCAGCTCACCCACAGCTATGGAACAGCGACACTGAGAAGGGACAGGACCCAGAAAACTAATAGCAAAACCCAAAGCAGTTCTGGACTCAAACACCTGTTGATTTTCATGCACTAAATATAGTGGAAGTTGGGTCATCTCATCCGTACATAAACACTACAGCTAGGCAAATACTTTATAAAAAGGATCGTTGCATTGGCCTGAGTAAGCAGGATGCTGGGAGAAGCAGCATTTGGGCCGCTGGGCCTGGCCTCTGGGCAGCCTCCTGCTCCTCAGCCACCCGCTGCTATTTCAGGCTCCCGTGCAAAACTGCCCTCTGTAGTCCTTCCTTCTTTTCTCTGAGGTGGAACTCCATGTACCTCATTGTTCTTGCACCTCGTGTCCCTTCCCCCAACATGAGGGATCTGTTTCCTTGGCCTTCACATGATCTGCATGGGGCAGGGGAAGAGCCCCCTCCCTCCAGACTGGCAGTGGAGGCAGCTTTTCCTCGGGCTTATTTTCCACCCTATTTCAGACACTCCTGAAAGGAAATTCATTCTTTCTTTGCCTTTTGAAGTTTGGCTGCTGGTGAATCAAGCCCAGCCCCTTTCTCAGGGAAGTCAAACCAGAGGCTTATCGCGCAATTCTCAGCTCTGTGCTTCCAGGGGTTGTGCTTCCAGCCTCTTGCCTGAACACCAGGTCGGTGCCCAGCAGGGTGCACGGGATCCCAGATGAGGAGCCCTAGAGAGGCTGAGGAGCCACCGGGCAGGGAGAAAAGCAGGAGCTTTGAAATGAGAGGCCGGCCCCAGCGTGCGCCTCCTCCTCCCTGCGTGGTCCCGCACGCTGCTCCAAGCCCAGCTGTCCTCGTCTGACACTGGGGCTGTTGTGAATTCGAGAACAAGGTATATGATATAAAACCCAAAGCCCAGTACCAGTACTCATAAGTGGCACCTATTCCTTGATATCATCTGCCCTCCAGGAGTGAAGAATCTGCTAAGAGAAACGAAGTGACATTTAAAGCACTAACGTGTGCCACAGATTCTTTTACTCTACTGCACATGAGGATGTAAATAGTAACACTAGCTGCAGGTCATTAAAACCTACAAGGCCAGTTAAGGGTATGACACTTTCATGACAGCTCTGCCAGGAAGTGGCTGTAGTCTCTCTCCTCATTCTACCCCCACTTAACAAAGAACAAAGGCTCAGAAGGGCTGAGCAACACGCTACAGCCCACATAGTGCTGGAGTGGTCAGCTGGCCTGGGCTGAGCAGCGTCACACCTGGAGCCGAGGTGGTGTGGACCATGCCCGGTGGCTGGGCTGGGCACCGGGGGTGCCAGCAGAGCACTGCCCTGCCTGCCCCATCATTGCCCACTGGCCCATGTGTTGCAATATCCTCATAATTCCACCAGACAACCAACTAGCCTCCTTGCCGAGGTGTTGCCATTCACACAGTTCCCCTCACCCCTGAGCTGGGGGTGGGCAGAGGACGAAAGATAACTGCTCTGGAAGATGACAGTGAACACAATACACAATGAAGTCATTTTATTCTTTTACTGAACAAACTTTCCTGTACCAGGAATTCAAACTACACACTGAAAAAGCCCAGAACCCTCCTGCTCCAGGGCGGCCGGCTGTTTTGTAAATGTGTGACCGCCGGTTTTGCTGAGATGGGCACATTTCTAATAATGGTGTTGAGACACAAAGACTACTGTGCGTGGAAGGGGCGTATCCTCTCTCCAAAGCTGCTGTTTCAGACGTCCCTCCACTGCCGGGGCCCCAGAGCCGGCCCACACATCCCTTGCCAGGGCCTGCTCCCTCTGCCCCATGCAATCATCTTCGGGGAAATGGCAAAAACAGGGCTTTGCCTGCCTGGGATCTCACACACTGACACTCCCCAGTGCGTTTGTACTTTCTCTGTTAGACAAGGCCTCCCCCCACCAAAGAAGAGGGTCAGTGATGTCTTGCAGGGTCGGCAGCCAGAACCTGTGGGAAAAAGCATGCAGGGGATGTTGCATAGCCATGGGGTCAGGCTGGGGGAGTTGCTGATCCAACCATCATGGAAACCAACTACGTAAGTAGCATACTGGGGCATTAGAAGGGTTTTCTAGCTCAAGAGTCAGTAATCTTTTTCTGTAAATGGCCAAATAGTCAATAATTTAGGCTTTATGGTCTGTGCAGCCTCTGTTACAGCTGTTCACCTCTGCTGTTACCATGAAAGCAACCACAGATGATATGTAAATAAATGGGCATGGCTGTGTCCCAATAAAACTTTATCTTATGAACACTGGAATTTAAATTTCATGTCATTTTCACATATCATGAAGTATTATTATTTTGATTTTTTATGACCCTTTAAAATGTAAAATCCATTCTTACTTGCCAGCTGTGTGAAAACGGGCAGAGGGACAGATTTGGCCCACTGCCCACAGATTGCCAGCCCCTGCCCTAGGTGAGAGTCAGCTTCACAGCAACACACTCTCCCTCTTTTTGGTATCTGACCCCCAGTCATGTCTTTCAACCAGGTGGGAGTGCCAGGCCTGGTGCCTGGGTATCGCTGGCCTTCGGCTCGCTCTCCCCACCCCCTCCATGTGGTCTGGTTGCCTGTTGCACCTGCTAGCATGAGGTCCTGTCATTGCAACTCTGAATTGGGCCTGGAGTTGCTAGCCATGTGGATGTCACCATCCTCTGGCCCGGGGTGGTCCTCTTGGCCTGCCTTCTACTATACCTCTCACCCAGATGGAGAAGCCCCTCTTGCTGTCAGTGAGTTGAAGGTTCCCAGAAAGGGACTCCCTCACTCAGTTCTTTATAGAGTCCCCCAATATTATAATTCCTACTAGGCAGGCTGGTTCTGCTCCTCACAACCCCTCCCAAAGAACTTGGGACAATTTGCTTGGGATTTGCAAGTTGCACCTCTCTGTATTGAGACAAATGTTCCTTGTTGACCATGAACCCTCAGGATCCCAAGGTGTTCCTCTAAGGCTAAAGCAAGCCCCTTGTTCTGGCATCCTGGGGGCTGACTCCCAGACTCCAGAGAACTTCACCAGTTCTCTCAGGGAGCCCTGGGCTGTTTAAAAGTGCAGTTGTTGGCTGCACCTGTCCAGGCTGGGTGGTCCAGCAGGATCTGACCCACCTGGCTCAGACATCCCGGCCCCAGGGGCTCAGTGTGAGCTTCTGTAGGAATGCAGGTTGGCAGAAGTTCAGAGCAACAATGGCCTGACATACCAAACACTCAAGAAGAATGGGGTTCCCAAATGAAAAACTGTTGCTGCTCCCCCTAATGAGTCTAGAAGGGGTTAGGGAGATTACCAACAAAAATCAGTGTCATTCTACAGGCCATTCAGGTGTTAGGGGACATGGTAGGGGGTCCTTAACAAGAAAGGCTCAACCCTGCCAAGAATATGTCAACAAGGTTCAAGACATGAAGAAAGTATCTGAAAGGGACTAGGCACTAAGAGGAACACAGAAGGGCTAGCCCCCTGCCTGGGGAAGGAGAGGGTGGAGCCGGAGTTGGTGTTGGGACAAGCATGTGCTGGGTTCCTCCTGCACGTCTGTCTTTTCCATTCAAGAAGAAGCAGGCAGTGAAAGTGAGCCCTGAGTGAGGGTGGAGGAGTCAGATGGACTTTGCAGTGCTGTTTCCCAACCCTGTGACCTTTGGTAAGTTATTTAACTTCTCTGTTTCCTCAGCTATAAAAATGGGGATGCTTTCCTGCTATGGTTGTAAGGATTAACTTAAAGGAGATAAAGCTAGTGAAGACCCTATTAGTAAATGATAGCTTGTGTGTGTATGTGTGTTATTTAAACAGAGTGATTCTTCAGCAACACAGTAGTCCTCATTTTGGTCCTCAGATTGACTGATTAAAATCACCTGGAATGCTAGAAAAAATTCAGTTTCCTAGGATCCCACCCCAAGATTCTGATTCAATAGGTCTGGGGGGCGGGTGGCAGAGAATCAACCAGATAATTCTCACATGCCCACCACAGCCGTAAGGGTTACAGAGGTGATGTACTACAGGGGCAGTGCTGGTCGGCCCTTAGGAGCTAGAACTGGGATCCAGTCTCAGAAGATGACATCCCAGGAGATGGAAAACCCTTGGAGGTGAGATCACATGTCACAGATTCCAACAAGAAAGCCAGGCAACCCGAAACATCAGGCCAATAAGCTGATGGCTACCCTTAGCATCAGTTTGAGTCCTTAAAGAGTTGCTCACACAGATTCAACCAGAGAGTCCAATCTGCCTGTCCTTTTGTTAGACTGTTAGATCAGATGGTGGAAAGATGGCTTTGTTTTTGTGGTTTGTAGCTGACTATTGCTAATACATTGTATTTTTACTGCAGAGTTTGAAAACCTCATTGTGCTTGGGGAGGAACTGTGTACTGCGTAGTCATACAATCAAGGGGATTGTGGTTTGCCAAACAGAACTGAGTCCAAGAACTAAAGTCTGTTCAGAGGATGGTTCAGAAGAATCTTCCCGGGGGAGGGGTGGGTGACCCAGCAGCTCTGCCCACCCCCGTGGAGCCTTCTTTCCAGTGGCCCTGCCGCTTCCCCCAGCCCAGGAGGCCTCTCCTCCTTAGCTGCCTGCAGCCCAGGGTGCCACCAGACACCCTTGGGCCACTGGGGCTGGCTGAGACAAGCTGGATGTTTTAAAGGGAAATTTTTCTAAATTTTAAAAGAACAAAAGGCAAATAAATATAGAAAGGACAGAACTAAGAACATAAGATGATATACAGAGTATTGGCTCCTGATGCTTCCCGAGGTAGCCTGTCCTTTGGGCTCCAGTCCACGCCACCCCTGGCTGGCCAGCTCTGTGCCCCTATCCCTAGAGGCTGGCTCCACCATCCCAGCCTCCATGGGTGGGACCCCCAATCATTGTCACCACACTACCTCTGTGACCTCTTGACTCTTGACCTACTGACCCTTCCTGGGTTCGAATTGCAGAATCCCAGGGACAGATTCCCTGCTGCTCATTATCCGGGATCTTCCCTTTTGGTTTGACACTTGCTAAGAGAGTTCCCAGCAAAGACCTCGCTGCTCAGGTGAGACACATCCTGCCTCTTTCCTGCATGCCACTAGCTGGGGCATTCACGAACCCAGGGCAGATTACCTGTGGCAGGAGCAGTGTCCCTCGCAGCTCCAAACAGCCTGCATTTCCCCTCTCTTCCGTTTGAATAGATTGCTCCAGTCGAGTCCATCTGTTCTCAGAATCCTTCCATACCCTCCACCTTGGCCTCACATCACTTTTCAGGTCTGTGCCCCATCTTCCCCATCCCTACAGCCTCCCTGAGGCTTCCACAGTAGTGAGAAGAGAAGACAGGGCTGTGAAGCATGCACTATATCTGTCAGCCACCACTTTCCACTGGTCCAGAGGCACATGCGACAACAGGTGCCGGGACTGGCCTGGAGACCAGGAGACTGTGTCCTCTTCTGGTGCATGTGGTCTTGGCTCTTCTGGCAAGATTCAAAGACCGGAGAGAAGCAGTCTCTGCCCGTGAGGAACTTGTTGCCCCAGGACAGTGCTGTATAAGGCACACTGCTGTCACACTGCAGATGCATACTGAGCTAGAGGAGTACAATATTAGGATCTCCATAGAAGGGACTGGCTGGGGAAAGCTCCACAACGGAGGCATCTAGAGCTGGGCCTCGTAGCATGAGTCATTTGGCTCTGTGTGCCCTGAGGAATGGGGATGCAATGAAGCCATGGAGAGCTTCTGAGCAGGTGAGGGACACAATTAGATCTGAGTTTGAAAAGACCATTGCGGTCACTGTGGGAGGGCAGAGGTGAGATTGGGAACAGGGAGTCCCAAAAGGAGGCTGAGGCAATGGTTCGGACAACATGGTGAGAGGATGTAGACTTCAACTTGGGCACAGCACAATGACAGAGCCCTTTACACATGTGAGCATCATCAGAAATAATGTTATAGAATTCATTCTGCAGACTCATGGGCATGTGGCATGCTTGTTTATTTTAATTGGTCATTGTATTTTATCTCCTGGCATATGCTCATGCTTCTCCATTCTCCCCAGTTCAGCAACCTTCTTTACTTCACCCAAGCCATTCCCAAAGCTCTGACACCCTCTCAGCCCCACTTCAAATATAATCAGCCTCATAGTGAAAGGCAAAGAAAGGGTCTAACCCAGTATTTTTCAAGGCTGTGTCTTTGGAAATATGGGGAGGACAATTCTTGTTGAAGGACCGTCCCATGCTTTGCATTTAGCATCCTGGCCCTTGGGGAACGAGGTGGCTGTAGCATCCTCTAGGAATTATGACAACCAATGTCCCTTTAGGAGTGATACTTGATTGATTACCATCCGTGCCCCACACATGGGTCCTGTCTCCCAGGCAGCAGCTGTCTGCAGGTGTTTACCTAGTCTGCCAGCCCCTGAAATGGTATTGACCATCCCAAACCCTCAAATCAGGGTGGAGTAAGAGGACAGGGTGTCCACCCAGTCAACCTGTACGCAAGCCTGAGATGTCTTTATTCTACCCTCATATTTGGTTAAATAGAGCTGGACAGAAACCTCTGGGCTGGAAGTCATCTTCCTTTAGAATGCTGAGGCATTTCTTTTTCATTGAGTTTTAGCTTCTAGAAGTGCTGTTAAAAAGTCTGATGCCTTATCCTTGGGTGTGCGGCTTGTCCCATTACCTGCCTTCTTAGGGACTTCTTTTCACTTATGAGGTTCTGAAGTTCCACTGCTCTGGGTGTCTGTGTGTGTGTTTGTGTGTGTGTGTTAACTTTACATTCCCTGTGTTGAGTACTCCATGGGGTCATTTTAATCTGAATGTCATGTCCTTCAGTAATGGGAAAATACTTTAAATTTCTTTAAAAATGTTTTTCACTTTTTCTTTTTCTGGAGTTTGATTACTGAGATGTTGGACATCTTCCAGTATCAGGATTCCCTCTGGTTTTCTATCACATCTTTTTCTCTCTTTGAAAAACATATATACCTTTTTCCTAACATACTTTCTAAACTCTTCATTGAATTTTTAATTTTTACTATGCAGTACAAACCTTTCAGTCATACATATATCTGGAGGTAGAAACCTGGCTCATAGTAAAGTGTGTGGACTTCTGCTTAATCTCCACGTCCAGAATAGGGTCTCAGCCATCCTCTGAGCTCTCGTTGATACCCTCAAATCCAGAGTCCTTCCAATTCACCTTCAGCAGACAGTAAACTTCCTATCTTCTACCAATGTCCCATCTGCTGTTATTCTCATCCAGGGCATTTTTCATTCTACACACACATTGCAGTTGTCATCTCTAGAAGTTCAATTTGCGTCCTTTTATCTTCTGTTTCTTTAATTAATGTTTTCAATCTTTCCTCTGTTTTTCTGAAAATATGGAATAGGATGAATTACATTTTTGTACTTTCTGTAGGTTTTTTTAAATTGAGACTTTTTGAATAGTAGTTTTAAGTTTATAGAAAAATTAAGCCAAAGGCATAGAGACTTCCATATACCCCCTTTCCCTTCCCTGCCCTCTCCCACACATAGTTTCCTTATTATTAATTAACATCTTGCATTATTTGTTACAACTGATAAGTTATGTATTATTGATACATTATTATTCTTAAATAAAGTCCATAGTTTACATTAAGCTTCACTCTCCATGTAATACAGTCTATGGGTTTTGACAAATGTCTCACTGGATCATATGGTGAGAGTACGTTTAGTTTTGTAATAAACTGCTTGCTATACTGTCTTCCAGAGTGTTGTACCAGTTTGCATTCCCACCAGCAAAGAATGAAAGTCCCTTTTGTGCCACATCCTTGAAAGCATTGATACTATCGGTATTTAGGTTCTAGCCATTCTATCAGTGTAATAACTTCTAAAGTTCTTGTCTATCAAATTCTACCATCTATGTCATTCTCCACCTGATGTCCAATGAATGATAAGGCTGTGTACCCTGATGGGTGGGAATATAAACAATTCTTAGCTCTATGGAGCACTGGGGATTGTTCCTTCTGATCCTTTATGGTGGTTCTATCCTCAACCCTGCGTAGTTTCCTTACATGTAGGTACTGGTCAGTGCCAGCGGAAGACCTCGGGGACCCTCTGCACATGTCTGTAGCTCTTTCCTCTCTGGTGCTCTGCCTTGCACTCTCCCAGATTCCCAGATCCATCTCCCAAACTTATCTCTTCTTGGCTTTCTCTTTCCTGTCTTAGGAACCTGGAAACTCTCTCCAGCCAGTGAGCTGAGACAATCAGAGGACGTAATTCCTTTTTACCCGTCTCTCAGGAATCACTGCCTTCCATTGCCCCAAGTCCAATATCTTTCATATATTTTGTCTGGTTTAAGTTTTTCAAGCCAGAAGGGTAAGAATGGTCCCTTTTATTACATCTTAATTTGCTGGAAGTGGAAATCTGAAGATTTCTTTCAAATTGAACCAATTATTAATAAAAATAAATCTTTATTCCTGCAGTGTTCAGAATAGGTAGAATTCACAGTGGTGTGTCCATGATAGCAATAAAATCTATTGAGCACACCTCTTCTTCACCTGTGGTTGAGTTCAACTTTCAAGGAGCTATCCAGGAAACCCATGTCATCTACCCACCTCCTCCCTGAGAAGGGACCTGCAATGGGGGGAGCCAGTGAATCAGGAGTGGAGGCTGCACCTGATTTCAAGCGAAGGCCAGAAGGCCAGGCTCTGTCTTCGG